ATGGTTATCGCTACACAAACAAAAATATTAATCGTGGCTGGTGATATGGAGAAATACTAGTGCGGATCGTCATAAATAACAAAGAAAAATAAGATGAGAAAGAGAAAGCACTAAAGAGAAATGGTCCAGTCCGATCCTGTCAGGTGGAGTCATCCCATCCTTCTTCTACGTGAACTCCACGCGAAGCCTTGTATAAGCAAATCCATACATACATACATGCACATATTCATCAGGGTATGTATGGGCGTATGTATATGCTTATATATGTCCGCTTATAAACCTATGTACATACGTAAGCCAACATGCGGTTGAAGAGAAAAAAAAGGTGATATCGCTAAAACTAAAAATCTGAGCAACAGCAAACAAAACGCAGTGATCTACTTACAGGCCAATTACAGATGGCCTATTTAAGTAGAGATTGTTGATTAACCTCCACTATTCATTTTCAGATCATACATTTAATCTGCACTTAAATGGCCAATATTGGCTATTTAAATATGAGATATGTAACCCTGTGTTTGTACCAAACAACCAAGATTAATTGGTGGGTTGTTTAATCAATCCCACCAATTCCCACCAAAAAACAATCAGCTGTTCAGTACAAAATGTAAACAAACAAGCGAATGCAACAACAATTTCAAGGAACAAGCAGCAGTGCTGCCAATTGTTTGGCATATTTAAACAAAGTTTATCTGAAACCCAACGAAAGTTAAATGCATTTAAACAACAATCCACAATTAAACTTAAGTGCCATTTAAATATTCATTTGAAATTGGCCCTTAATGTGATACTACAAAAATTATATGCTAAATGCAAATTTCCCTAAAAACTAAATACCTGGCATATACATATATGTATTTTCACTTATCAGACTGAAAAACGGAATTTAAAAAGCAACGGAATACAGCTGTGAAAAAAGGTAACTAAAACTTTAAGTACAAATTTAAGAGAACTCAATAAGCCTATGCAAATGAACATAACTAAAAAATAACAAAAGAGCTGATCGCTGTGTTTTCGGCGCTGCAGCTGGTCAGTGGCGTAGGCGTAGCGCCCCACTTATGTATGCTCCCGCGGCGCTGCTACTGTTGTCTCGTCTCTTTCTGTTATTAACATGCCTTTCCCAGTGGCTAT